CTCAATAGGGTGTTCCACTTAAACATGAACAATGATCAAGACATGTGAACACACCACCTACTTCATTTTAGTTTGTGTGTTTGGCTACAAGAAAGAAGCCTGGGCAAGTCTGAAAGCAGAACACAGCAGCCCATTGCTAGTATATTTGAAAAAAGCAGCCAAGCTACCTAATTTAAACCTGCCTTTATATTCAGTTTTAAAAAGTAACATACACAGAAAATTGCCATCTGCTGTCTTGGTTCACCATCACCATCTTTTGCTGTTTCTCTTCCCTATATTGAGTATCTACAAGCTAAAGTATTTTAGAGAGTGGCTAATGACTAGCACAGTGAGAGCCTGGGCTTTTTGCTGGCACTGTACAAAGGAGAAAAAGGGAAAAAAAGAGCATTAGTCAGAGCCCAGACTGACATATGGTCCATATGAGGAATCAGTCAGCTTCTGCTCTGCTCATGCAGAGCCTTCCCACCCAGCTCTGCAGTGGCAATAAGCCATTTGCTTTCCTCAATGACAGCTGCATGGAGCACATGGTCGCTTTAGTGAAGGACAAGCAACAGAGATTCACCAATTCATTAAAAAAAACTAAATTGAAACAAAGCCAACTGAAACACTTCTCTGTATTCCTCTTGCCCAGATGGTTAAAAACCCCCAAGGACTTGGCCATATTTAATATGGATAGCAGCACCTAGTGCAGACGAAAGCAGGAAACGCCACTGACAAGTATGAACTTGACCATTTTTTGGTCTCTCCTGCCATGGCTGCAAGGAGAGCACTAAAGGGAACGTTCATGAACTGAGACAGGGGAGAGTCAGATTAAATGTTAGGAAAAATGTTTTTCCTGTCAGGGTGTTCAGGCATTGGAACAGATTGCCCAGGGAGGTGATGGAGTCACCATCCCTGGAAGTGTATAAGATGTGTCTGGATCTGGTGCTGGAGGATCTGGTTTAGGGTTTAGGGGTTACAGCAGTGACAGATTAATAGTTGAACTCGATCTCAGAGGTCTTGTCCAACTTTGATGATTCTACGAAACCCATTCTGGTATGAACCTGTCTCCAGAATCACCCATGGAGCTGCCTTATGTGTACATTGGTATGTCCCAAGAGATAAACACATCCCAGGAATACTGTGCATTAATCACAGGGAAATGGCACAAAACCCAAGCTCTGATACCGGTGGTTTGGCGTTAGCTGCCCTGAGGTGGGATTGCTGGTATCCAGTGGCAGTTGCAGAGATGACAGCTGTTCCAGACTCCTGGTGAACTTGAACAGTTTGCAAGCCTAGAATCAAACCAAGATGAAAAATACACTGCTTATCTCTTCTAGGGTCATCCTAATCAGACAAGAATTCTCTCTCAAGAGATGTTCTAGACAATGGGTTTAGTTCTTTTTTATTCCCCCCAAAATAGCAAACACTAAAAAATGCACATTAATGACAAGCTGAAATATAACTGCAGGTTACGGTAATTTCTTTAACCAAGCTCAGACCTCACAAAATAGATTTAATCCTGGCCTTCTTCAAATAATGAAAGGCTCATTTAAGCTAACTCATACCGTGCATTTTCTTCTGGCCATTCCCATCTTCCTTCGGAGTCAGTTCCATTGGCATCTCAGGCTCAATATGTGCTAAGGACATTTTTGTAGACTCCCAGACAACACTAAGAGAGCTGAAGTTATCAAATCTATTGCCTTCTTGGTCATAGGCAGCCAAATCCAGTACTGGATGGCTATAATTTGACACAGGAACCTGAAAAAGAAGGAATACTTGAACTGAACAGATGCAAGAGGAGTTTTCAATCACTAAAAGAAAAGAAAGTGTATGCTGAATTCCATGAGATTTATTAAAACACTCATTACATGAGGAATGCTCATTAAAATAAGCCATCAATGCATATCATTAAGCTGTACTTCAACCGTAAGGGGTTTTGGGAGGATGGCGGGCTATTTAGCCAGGGAATTACCTTACAACAAAAATGAAACCACAGCTCAACTACAGGAGTCTTTAGAATGCAAACAAATAATCAAAACCACTGCGTTTGCCAGAAGCTCAACATTCTGCTGATGTTGTGAAATGCACCTGCAACAGCAGTGTACCAACAGAGGCTTAATTGACACATAATGGAGTGAGAAAAGCAGGTGAGCTCTGACTAACAATACACAAAAATATCCTTCTCATCTTGTTATTTATTGCATAGAAGCTACTTAAAGTGATTTATCAGCTCCACAAGCATTGCAGTTTTAGGAAAGGAGGATGATTTTTCTATCTGCCTGGGATTATTAACACGAGAAAGCAAAGTTTCCTCAGCACCCAACATGTGACACCTCACAACAAACAAAGTTGGTTTATGCTTTATAATCTACACACATGCATTGTCCATTTAGCATGGCTCAGGTGTGCAAAGCTGGGAACCTCTGGTGTCACTGAACAGTACTCTGTGCTTCCACAGGGATCCTCACAGTAGCACTGCCTGTGCCTTTCCTGATAGGACACACACAGGTGTACACTCATGGTACAGTATATGGATCGTAAAATATGTCTCTGTATACTTCGCGGAACATTTAGATGGGAATGAAGTGCTATAGGAAAAAAGTACTTTACACAGAAATAGCTGCTGGAAATATTTCCCCTCTCCCTCTCCTTCTTTTTAAAAACAAAATATAGGTTTGTGTCACCAGTCAAAACAGCTTCCTCACAGTGACACTGCTGTGAGAAGTCACAGAAAAAACGCTTTTAGATACATTCCTATTATGTGGTAGATCCCTTTATTCAAATCTGTTTGAATAATCACTGTAGAATTCTGGAATGGGTTGGAAAGGAAGAAACCTTGAAGGTCATCTGGTTCTACCCCCTGCCATGGGGAGGGACACCTTCCACTACATCAGGTTTCTCCAAGCCCCATCCAACATGGCCTGGAACACTTTCAGGGATGGGGCAACCACAGTTTCTCTGGGCAACCTATACCAGTGCCTCAGCACCCCCACAAGGAAGAATTTCTTCCTAATCTCTAGTCTATCCTTGCCCTCTGGCAGTGGAAAGCCACTCGCCCTTGTCCTGTCCCTCCAGGCCCTTGTCCGAAGTCCCTCTCCAGCTCTCTTGGAGCCCGTTTAGGTGCTGGAAGAGGCTCTAAGGTCTCCCCAGAACCCTCTCTTCTCCAGGCTGAACGCCCCCAGCTCTCCCAGTCTGGCTCCATGGCAGAGGTGCTCCAGCCCTTGGAGCATCTCCATGGCCTCCTCGGGACTCACTCCAAGAGGTCCACATCTTTCTTGTGCTGGGAGCCCCAGGGCTGGATGCAGTGCTCTAGGTGAGGCCTCAGCAGAACAGAATAGAGAAGGAAAATCCCATCCTTCAACCTGCTGGTCACACCCCTCATGTTTCTATAGGAAACCTCCACCCAGGCTGTTCTTTGTGTGAGCAGACAAGGAGCCCAGCACGGCCCACAGCACCAGTCACTGCCACGCTTGCAGCAAGCCAGATGCTTTATTTTGCACATGGAGGTCCAACACTGATTTTTCAGTTATAAGGACACTTCCTTTTCCTGTCACTTCTCAGGCTTACCACTTGCTTGTTTTGTTTCAGCAAAGGGCAGGAGAGATCCAGCTGAGGACTGCCATAAACAGGCGTCAGAGTGAGTCGGGAAGGGACAGCACAGATGAACTTGACTGCAGCAGGTTCGACCGCCGGGAAGGGGTTGGTGACTGTGGGGCTGTTCCCAACTGTTAAGGCAATGACCTGAAAACAGGCAAGTGAGGAAAGACAAAAGGACTACTGAGTTCAGGCATATTCTATTTCACAGGTCTGTTACACTCTGATGGCAGAACAAACACACAAAAATACGGTTCTTGGGGATTTATAGCACCATTAAGACACAAGAAGATATAAAAGGAGGTGGATATTTCAAGCATAGTTCTATACCACTATTGAAGTGCTATTCTTGGGAACTTTTCCTAGGTATTCATGTTCAGTACTATCAAACTTGATTCAAACAACAAATCTCTTGTAACTTAAAAAGGAAAGAACAGGTGTTCTTCTTGCAGAGTGAGAACAGAACAACCCAAAGACAATATTTATAGCCACTTCAGCCTGTTTAAAAACATCTTATCTGTTATTTTACATTCCTTTTTCAGCCTTCAGCAAAACAAAGTGGATATAAACCCAGAGGAGGCTATCCCAGCAGGCTGAGGCAGCTCTGGTTCATCCACTCATGCACTGGTGCTAGCCAGAGCCATGCAGGTGCGATGTGCGGTGGACAGGCAGCCAATGCATGCACAGCCCTAGACATCAACAACAAGGTCTTTTCTTTCTGAATTTGCACTTACAGAAATAGCTCCACTTTGCAGAGTGTCCACTGAGGAAATCAGTCAAGCAATTTGGCAGCCCCACCAAAATGCTTAGGCCTTGTGGAATTGCAGGAGGAAAACATTAAATCAAAGCTAAATGCTTTACAGACTGGCCAGGGAGAGTAAAGCAGGATAAATCACTTCTGCATGTTGGAGAGAACAAGACCAGGTAGAAAATTACTACAGCCATGCTCACAAAGGCTACACAAATAGCAGAGCACAAATAGCAGAGCACAAATCCCTGTGGCTGTCATTTGTTAGAACAAACAAAATTCCACTGGAAGGTAACTTGGTTAAGAGGAATAGGTCAGACAGAAGAGTCAGCTTGCTGCAGTAACCTTCTGCTCTGCTCTTGCTTATGCAAGTTGAAGCCACACTTATTAGCATGTTTAATGCATCCCACAACATAAGGTTTCCATGACTTCAGTTTACACTGCAATAAATCCATCACAAACCACTTTATAAGATAATGTTGTGAAATGCTCACTATAAAACCTGCACCAGCATCACAATGCATAAAACAATACACTTACCCATGTTCTTTACTGGCTTACCATAAAAGCTACTTGTTATGTAGGAGGTATATGGTACCATAAATGTGCCTGATGGCTGCTCTCAGCAGCCCTAGCTCAGTGTTTGATGGAGGGCAACACAAACAGCATGTGGCACTTACTTGCTCTCCCAGGCTTCTGCAAGACACTCTGACCCAGTGCTGGTTGTTATTTCGAGATGTAGAAGATCCAAGTAAAGACAGGCCAATGCTTTCTGCATCCTTAGCAGTGATGTTCCTGAAGAACTTCGAAGGTTCTTGGACCCATGGTCCAGGCCCTCCTTCAAACAACATATCTTTAGATGAGCCCAAAGTCACTAAAGCAACAGAGGGTGGATCGACAGCCTGTGATGGACCAATTCATTACAAATTAGTGACTCTATTTACATATAGTTTGGTTGCAATTTGCAGAATAAACCTCCTTCTTAGTGGAAAAGCTGCCCCTGTTGCTTTGATCAGGCTGTGAGTTCTCCCAGGCAGTGGTTATTGAAGAGCAGAACTGCACCAAAACAGTTTCCATCACCTAACAAGGTCTCTGCCCAGCTGGATTATATTCAATGCAACCAAAGAAAAGTTTTAGCTGCATTCTAATCCCATCTCTTTCGTGAAGAATTACAGCAAAAGGAAGACCTTTAATATACTCTTCTGAGCATAGAGACAGTATTCCACTATACTTTTAAACAGGCAGTACTTCAAATGAATGAAATAATGTCAAGTTGTCCTTTCACTTGACAGTGCTCACTCCAGCACAGTTCTGCGTATATAATTATTCTCCCACACAACTTTTACTTCAAACCTCTCTAACAAATTCTGCATTGATGTGTATTCCCTGGGACAGCCTGTGCTGTTCATCACCACAGCAATTAACCTGACATTTAATACACAAAACCCATTTGTAGCTTGTGTTCCACATCATCATATTATTTAGGCATTCAGCAAGAGAGAGAGCAGCTAACATAAAAGATGGTTCAATTCTTTCCAGAGGTGCATTCGGGTAGGAAGAGAGAAAAAGCAAAGGTTGGCACAAGTGTTCTCCTTTCCTCCCATTCACTCCCTGGTTGTATTTGCAATTTAAAGTTAAAAACCTATTGGAAAACGATGAGATTCAGTCCCAAGTGCCTGCCTGCCCTCTGACTGTTTATCTTCCACTTTTTAATGCTGTAATTTATTTATTAATAGATGTCTGACAGAAGAATGCTGCCTTCCCTTTCTGGGCATCATAAATATTTCATTCCACAGAAAGGAGGGAAAAGAATGTGGAAATCACTGTTCTACACTTCAAAGAAAGAGAAGTTCTTCACAGAGATACTTTAGCACAGACTACTTTTTTTTTAAAGTGCACTTGATCTACCCTCCTTGTCACCATGACCTGGTTAAGTACCCCAGAATCACTTAGCTTCATACATGAAAAGCAGCTTTACAACACCTCAAGGGGCTTTGCTAATAAATGTGAATGATACCATACACATGAAAATTAGAGCAACTACACTTCTCTTTTACTCTACTGCCAATAACTGAACAGAAAGTTTACACACTCAGCATCTTAAACAGCTGAGTATACGTGTTTGAAGATACTTGACAGAAAAGCACATTTAAAATGTAAAAACATATTTATAGTCACAAATCTGTACAATTTGCACTAACAGTTTTTCCAGCTTAGAGGGAAAAAATCTATGGTCAAATGCATTGGATAGGAGTTTTGCAGAATCAGTGCTAGGTCTTTGAGGATGAGGTACCAAAACTATCCTGGTTTTTATTTCAATTTGTACTCAGGTTTGTTCTTTTCTTCAGTGAACTGCCTAACAGTAAAACATAAAACCACCCATCTGAATTTTTTTATACATACTCATTACATAACACCAACCTGCCACTTGTCATTTCAAGGCACATGAAGTGCTGGATTGCTTTAGGAAGGGCAAACCCAGACCCACCTTTAATGGTAGATACGCAGCGATGGTGATGCTGGCTTTGAGGTGGACATGCCCATGGGTGTAGCTAACAATCAGTGCTGTGTATCCCTGAGCTTCAGCTTTCACTCGCACTCCACTACAGAAATCAGCAGTTGGCTTAAGTTTTCCTGTCAGATAAATTAAAAATATATAAATACATATTTGGACAGAAATGCCCAGGCAGGTTAATTGAGTTCAACATGGCTTTTTGAGGAGAATCTACAAAAAATCTGGAGAGGACTTTTACAAGGGCTGGAATAACAGGACAAGGGAGAACAGCTTCACACTGAGAGAGGGCAGGGTTAGAGATTAGGAAGAAATTCTTCCCCACAAGGGTCCTGAGGCACTGACACAGGCTGCCCAGAGAAACTGTGGCTGCCCCACCCCTGGGAATGTTCCAGACCAGGTTGGATGGGGCTTGGTGCAACGTGGTGTCCCTGCCAATTGCAGAGGATAGGACTGGACAAGCTTTAAGGTCCTTCCAACTCAAACCAGTCTGGGATTCTATGATTATTCTTCGATGGCTTTTCTCAACAAAAGCAGTTCTAGCAAAAATAAGAAGATATGTATTTTCCAGCCAAATGGGTAAAAATGATCACTACTGTCTTTGATATCAAACCAAACACCAAAGCATGCATGTCTTTCAAATGTCTTTAGTTTCACACTGTCCCAAACAGGACATGAGTCTTTACTCTGGTACAAACTAATATAAATTCTCTCTCTTACTGAACATTTTCCTCTTGCTGTTCCAAGCTGAAACTAGCTTGTAATTAAGCACAAATAAACCACACTGCTTAGACAAGCTTTCCTGCACAGAATCACCTGAACTGCAGGCAATCCACCCCTAGCTGAAGGGATGGGATTTTCATTAAATCTTGCTGCTTAGAGGACACCATGGAGTTTGGGAGGGGTTTATTTTTAATGGTTTTGAAACAAACACTTGAACAGCACACTACATAGTGATATTTAACCAGCTGCCTCTCAGGCAAATGGGTGGTTACAATGCACACTGCTTTTACTGGCTCAACAGCACAGGAAAGAGCTTCCATACAAGAGACACTTGGAATAAATTAGTGGTACATCTGAATAACATCCTGAATCCAGCAGTCACAAGAACAGGCACAGTACTCAATGCCCACCTGACCCAGCAACATGAATAGCAATCTTTAAAAATGACACATGTACCTGACAAGAGTAATTTCTTAAAGCAATGAGCTTAACAATGACAGAGCTTTGATAAAGTTAAGCACTTGATTGTCTTAGTCCCTTGTGAGCAAACCATGAACAGTGTCTGTATTGAACTGTTCAGAACTGCTTCTGTTCAGAAAGCACTGATGGGCAACTTGGGCAAAGCAGCTATTCTTGTGTGTTGATGATACCTCAAAGCACAACGTATGTGGAGCCCTCTTATGAAAAAACCCATCAGCTTTGTTACAGAAGCAGGTTAAAAACACTGTATCAGTAGAAAGACATAAGGGAGACTACACATTACCCAGTAAGATGATACGAAATGCTTTTAGAGTCCCTCAAAACATCAAAAATCTCAAAGGGAAGTTCTGCACAAAAAAAGTAAATAGATGCTCAAAACAAAGCTACTCTGCCCTCCCTTCTGAAGGTAGCAGCTCTGGGGGAGTGCTGCATACAGCAATGGAAACAGTGATTTAAAGGAGCTGTGTAACTCTGAATTTAACCTTCAAAACAGGGAGGAGGTCAAATCACCTTGAAGTGGCCTGAACACCTCACGGTTTTCCACTTTCACAGCCAGATCAAAGCGTGAGCAGTCGCTCAGAGGGACTGTCTCGCCTGTCTCCACGTTTGTTATGCCATTGATCCTCAGGGGCAGCTCCAGGATTTGGCCAACACGGGTCTCAACTTGACATGCTGTAAACTCCATCCCACTGGGTTCAGTTACATATACCTGAAGGAGGATAAAAACACAGGACAGATGTATTTTAGTCCTCTTTTCCCATCACAGCCCAAGCCCACATGAGCTTGGTGATCCTTATACTGCTACTCCTGTAATTGTCTCTTCTGCTTTGTAGATTTTAAAGTGTGGGCTAAGTTGTCTGGTATCTCCAGGAGGTGCCATCACAAACTGGGACAGATTTAGCATCCAACACTGACTTTCACAGCATAAATATTTGAGCTATACATTCAGCAAGGCTCCCCAGCCTCCAGCACTCAAGGAGCAGGTATATAGAAATTGAAGGAACTAACGACCCAAACATTTCCTCAGTGGCTTTGCTTTTTCTCTTTGCATTCGCAAAACATTTTAGAGGTGTCCAGGGCTCAAAAATTCCACACAGTAATATGCAGAAATCTAAAACAAGTGAACTACTATCTAGTGTCTAATCTAACAACTTTCTGCTTCAACAAGTCATCTTTACATGATTGCTTTCAGAAATAAGACTGGCAGAAACAGACTTTCCATGCTGTTATAAAGGGCGCTGAGGGACTGGCATAGGCTGCTCAGAGAAGCTGTGGCTGCCCCATCCCTTGGAGTGTTCCAGGCCAGGCTGGATGGGACTTGGAGCAACCTGGTCTAGTGGAAGGTGTCCCTGCCCATGGCAGGGGGTGGGACTAGATGATCTTTAAGGTCTCTTCCAAACCAAACCATTCTATAGCTGGTATGTTGATGAAGAAGCCTTAACTGTATTGTTTGTCATTCTGATTTGTTTTTCTATTAAAGAATCCACCACAGACTGACCACATATTTCCTAACAATCACGATGATGAAAGCTTTTCTTTGCAATAGCTTAACTACGGTACACAGTTAGAGTTGCAATCTGTGTGGATTAACTAGTACTAAAATGACCACTGCTCAAACTTGTTCACCAAGGTCAGTACTAGAACTCCAAAGAGTTATTCTATGAAGAAAGTAGTTCCTAACAGAAGAACAAAGGCACTCAAAAATAACCTATTCAGATTGTGCAATACACTGCTCTGAAAGCTCACATGGGCAAAGGATTCTTTCTGTCTTCAGGCTTTGACTTATCTTCGAGGATAAGAAGTTTTAGCTGAAAAATCTTCATTTATGTATCCCCTGCTGCTAACTGTTGCACTACTAAAAAGCAGCATCCTGGGTTGATCAGAGAATTATTTCAGAGCAAGTCTGTAAACTAAACTCTGACCAGATTTTAATTCATGTCACTATTTTAACAATTTCAGACATTATTTTAAGCATGAAGTTCGGTGCTTCTCAAAGCCATTTTGTAGAACTGACATCAATCATCTGAGCAAAAACCCAAGCTCATTTGCCCCTCAAAAATCCAGCATTAGTAGACTGGTTCCAAGTGAAGTTAGGTTAGAAATCTCCCAAAACACACAGACTAAAAGTACTGAAATAAAAAAATAATGAATAAACAAAATGACAGGAAAAAATCCCTGTTTCCACAGGCCCCTCTGCACTGTGGGACAGACTGGGCAGTCTTGGCCAAACACATTTACGACTATAATGTGCAACATTTTCATCAGCAGAAGTGCAGTACAATTCCAGCAGTGCTGCACATGGGGATACTTACAAATTCGGAGCTGGTTTGTATAGCCAATGTTTGTCTATTGGATGGACTCAGCTTGCTCTCACCAGCTCCTAACTGGCAGGCATTACCCTGGCAGGAAGGTTTTTCTGAGGTCAGGAGCAGGTTTCCCCTGCTCTGGCAGGTTTCCATTCCAATGCTCAGCTCTTTGCAAAAGGCACAGGGTTCAAGCACTGCCTCTATCAGTGAAGGCAGCAGAGTAGTGCTACTTCACAGTGGTAAATATACACCACAGTAGTACTCACTTGTACTTCCTGTTCTATCAGGTTATAGATCCAGCAGGATCAGCCTGAACAGTCTGACAGAGAGCAAGCACTGACAGTTTCATTAAGGAAAACTATTTGTGTACAAAGAAGAAGATACCTCCAAATCAGTAACATTCTAGAGAAAATTATTGAAGACTGTGGATTCTCAGGGTTAACCAGAACAGCTTCTTCACCCATCTTGGCACACTCCTCCCTGGGGGGGCCTTTACATGTACTGTTCCTGAGTTTTCTTCACACCACACACTGATCACCCTGATCAAATCCAAAGAACAGGGATGACCTGCACAGTTCACAAAATCCCTCTTGGGAGCTGTATTTGTCATTGTCATTTTCTCCTAATTTTCCTAAAATAGTATTTTTTCTTGGCCAGCTTATGTCTCTGGATTCATTCCATGGCATTGTACTCTCTTCAGTCACTTCTCCAGGCAGGAATTGTCTTGCACATCTTGATGCTATCTGTCGCCCTTCTCTATGGAGGGAAAACACCCACTTCTTACTCTAGAGGATCCATTTTTAGTTTGGCTAGGCCAGTGGTAAATTTCTACTTCCTTCTTGCACATAAAAATTCCAACATGGAAAAAGACTTGCCAAGGAAACCAGGAAGGGGCAGAAATGGGAGTGAAGTTAATGCAGTGGATAGAGTTTGAATCCCCAAGAGCACCAATCACTTAACCTGCCACAAGGCAGGCAGGGAAACCTCTTGGGAGCATTTTGGAAAGGGAAATGCCTATGGCATTCTCAGCTGCTTCACCATTTCCAAAAGCCATACTCAAGCGTGATCAGGGGAAAATAAAGACTTTTACCTTCATTTCTCCATAATGCAATGGATTCTGAACATCAGTTGCCTGAATAACACTGATCCCAGTATCACTTCCAGTTTTCATGACTCCTTTGACTGTCACTGTAGCAACAGCCTGGTTAGAACAGGACCAGCTGTAATTGCCACTTCCACCATGAGCCTGGAACACAGAGAGAAAACCTTTCAAATATTTCACAGAACATGTGCTTCTCTGGTTTCTTAGCTTTCAAACCTTTGAATTTCTTGCATGAAAACCAGGAGCACACAGAGAATGAGGAAATACAAACAAAATAACACCTCGGAATTTTCAAATAAGCACTGTGAAATGAGAGGGGGGAAGATTACTACCCTTCAGTTTAATTTCAGCTATCTGCATATCCTGTGTGCTCACCAGTGCTGCCAACCCAAATAACTCTCCCCCAGCTGCACAACTCTGATAGGAGTCTCACCACTCCCACTGCCTGTACTTCCACCCAGCAGAGCATTCCACACATCAGCACTCCAGAAGCCTGGCATGGGGGTAACTGTACTCCTCAAAACTCCCCATGTTTCTCTGCTGCTCACAGCCCAGGTGCTGACTTGGGGTCTCAGAGCTGCTAACTCTGCACCTGCCAGTTTCTTCCAATGGGAATGGCTAAGGGATCTAAAGAGAAAAGAAGGAGGGAGGCAGGGAAGGAATGAGCAAGAGAGGAAAAAAGGAAAGGAGGAAAAAAAAGTCACTCTCTTCTTGGCGTTACTTCTCGATTTTCATGCTGAAAATCAGCAGGTCTGCTGCAGCCATCCAACAAACATGCTGCTCCAGCAAGACATCAGTCAGGCTCTTCTAACCATGTCATTCCATCAGCAAGCGGCAGCCAGGCCAGAGCAATGCCTCCTGCAGGTTCCTACTTGGAGAAAGTGAAGGGCCAGAGACATCTGCCAACACAAACAGAACACTGTCCTGCCAGACGTGCAATCCCAGTGACTGACAATCACCCCAGGGCTGTAGGATGTACAGGCTTTAAACATCAGCCTAGGGAGCTACAGGAGTGACTGCACAGTATCAAGTGAAAATGAGGGGAAAAAAACCCAAAAAACCGCATGAATTGCACACTCCAAAATAAATGTGGAAGTTCCATCAGAGTAAACAAGAGGGAACTGGAGCAATTGTTTTGCTTGTGTGAATTGTTTTAGCTTTTTTAACTTCCTCTGCATTTCCTCTCACCTGAGTCAGCATTAAGGTGCAAACAAACAAGGTGATGAATCTTGTCTAGAAGGACAGTGTGGGAAATAAGCAAATCTGAATTGAGCAGGGGGAAAGGGAAGGGAAAAGGAAATGAAAAGAAAATGGAAATGGAAAAGGAAATTTGACACAGAAATAGACAAGGGAAATGAAAATGGACACAGAAATGAACAAGGGAAAAGGAAATGTACCCAGAAATGGACATGGACCTGGACAAAGAAGATGGACACGCAAATGGACATGGAAATGGACACAGAAACGAAATGGAAAATTCACCAACTTCCAACATCCTGACTGACACTATGAAGCAGGAGGCAAACATTGATCTGTATGCAGGAGCCTCGATGGAGCTGGTGTGGGGTGGGCAGTCTGGAAAAACTCTCAGTTCCATCAAATGCACAGTCATTTCAATGTTGGGAGAAAAAGGGGGTTCTGTTTTTAATGAAAAAAACCACAGTAAAGTAGGAATCCTGATGCAATTATTGCAGTACCAGGAAGGAATGCTCTCTAGTCAGATACTTCATTACACATGCAAGATAAGGAGAGAGAAGAATAGAACAGAAAAAGAGGTAGGAAACAAAACCACGTTTACTTCCCCTTACTGGGAAAACTCCAGTAGAATTATGATGAAGTACTGCAAATGCATATTTGTACTAAGAATTGTTGCCACACTCTGCTGGTGTGGTTGGGTACAGCAGGAACTGATCCCACAGACATTATAAGTACAGATGCAGCACAAACTCAAGGGGTTTAACTTCATATTTACACCGGAGAATGCAGTTTCATCCCTATGAGACTCTCACTTCACAGAATCACAGAAACATTAAGTTTGGAAACGACCTTTAAAATCAAGTCCAACCATCAGCCCAGCACCACCACCCTGTTCAGCACTAACCAGGTCCTCAGGTGCCACATCCACAGTGTTTGGAGCACTTCCAGGGTAGTGATTCCACCCGTGCGCTGGGCAGCCTGTGCCAGGGCTAGACAACCCTTCTGAGAATAAATTTTCCCTAATATCCAATCTAAGCTTTCCCTGATGCAACTTGAGGCCATTTCATCTCATCCTGTCACTGGGAGAAGAGCCTGACACCATGTGTCCTGCTGCCTCTTTTTGGGTACTGTTATTTGAAGACAGACCCAAAACTGAACACTACTTCACACTAAAAGAGACAGGTAGGAACTGCATCAAACACTTGTGTGCAGGATCTGGGTATCACTGACTTGGGATAAGAGTCTGGGCTGGGGAAACACAATGTTCTTTTTCCTAATTAGACCAAAGATACTGGAAGACAAACCATTTACTTCATAAAGCATATGGAAAGATTGGCAGCATGGAAGCAAAGACACACATAAAAAAATTTAAGGAAAAGTCCCTTCTGTAAATAAAACTGTGGCCTTTGCCTCCCTAGGAGTTTTTATCAGGAGGATGAGATGTGTGGTGAGTGAAGGACACTGGTGTTCAAGGCTGACAGAGTGCTGATAATTAAACTACTTCCAACCCTTTCCAGCAAATGGCAGCCTCTAATTATTGCTGTGAAGCTTTGTAACTAAGATGGTTCCTGGAATTCCAAACTACTCCATGTGCGCATGTGTGCTGCATGTGTGATGGCGAAAGGAAGGGAAGATATGATATAAAAATTGGTTGGGTTTTGAGGTTTGTTGGTTCCTTGGTGCATTTTTTAAACTACACTTTCATTCCTGCACCTGACATCAGATCAAATTCCTCCAAATAAAGTATGGGATACTGCTATGCCTGAAGTATCCAAAGTCAACTCTAAGTGGTTTCAGGCCTCCCTGCACCTGCCTGAGCAGCATTTCCTGCAGTTAGATACTTGTCTGGCATACCTGGATGGTGTACTGGTAGACTCCTGCTTGTGGCTGCCAAGGAAATGTCAAAATGCTGGGGGACAGGACTATGGGAACATGGATTTCCACATCCTGCTGGTTTCTCACTGGAACTGGTAACGTATGAACACCTCCATCCTGCAAAGACAAGAGCACAGTGGTATAAATGGCATCACAGTGCTGCCTAGAGTTAAGGTTTAGTCCTTATGTATAGACAAGTTGGTGACAACATCCTAGAGAGAAAGGAAAACTACTCAGGGTCACTTCTGAACAGTGCTACTTGTGAGCAGTCAGCTCCTGGCAGCAAGGTGTGCTGCTGCAAGCAGTGAGTAGCTATGGAGATACAGGTGCCCATATCACTCTAAAATGCCAATGGCAAGAAGAAATAGACTCTTTCACTACTATCAGTTTGAGACCTTGACTGAAAAACTAATTTGGAGACTTGACACCTGCATGTACAGTTGGCTCATTCCACTCTGCAGCAGGTGAAGCCAAAGCTCAGCCTCGCAGACCCACTCCTCGAGCACCCCAAAGCGCTGTCTTGACAGCTCTGCCGTCACTGCAGCGCCATAACCCTCCGGCACAAAACACTTACCGCCGTTCTGAAGGGAAATTTAAGGGCTCCCAGTGCAGCCCATTCCACTGAAGAGTATGTCTCTGACACAGAGAATACAAGGATCTACCAAATCCTACTCAAGGAATCCCTAAAATGATTTCACGGCGAATGGGTTGAAGGGTTGAATCTTCCCACGTTTCAAGGAAAAGCATCTCACCTCCATGCCACGTGCCCTAGTTAGGCACACACTGAGCAGCCTGCCCAGCTAGCAGAAAGTTAATGAATATTCATTTGAAGAAATGTGCACGCTGATCCATTTGGCAGATTTTCACTGCAGCATTTCACATCACTAAACAAATGCCAGACAACTTCCCCACTGAGAGCACAACGATGCCAGGGTGTGACACTGAGAGTCCTACCCCAATAAACTGCAACCTCCCCTCAGACTGAGAGGCCCTTTGCATCCACACAAGGAAATGGTATGTGCCCACACAAGGATCTGCCCTGACAAATACAACCAGTGCTGTGCACCATTGTTTTAACAGCGGTTTGCCACACGCTCAGGAGCAGAATCCCACTGTCTTTATTGAAGCAAATCCTCTGTTGACTCAAGTTTTCCTGAGGTAAGAATTGTAGAATTTGGTTCTTAATCTGTTCAAACAGAGATGGCTCAGATCCACGTAATGCTTAGGTTTCCTTTTACCATGAAGTCACTACTGCACAACCAAGTGACTTTCACCAGTAAAGCAGAAGAGTTTCCATAAAGACATACCTGATCGACCACTGATGTCAGTGCAGCATCAATAACAGTCTGACCCCTCTTTATTGCCTTCACATAATAGTATGATCCATTCAGAGATGACTGCAACACCTCAAAATATTCTTTGGACAGCTCTGCCTGAATTCTGATGTTCTAAAACCAGGACACGACACGACATAAGTATTGTTACAGGCAAGTGGCATTTAAACTGTACAGACAGCCATAAACATATTAGCAACAAATCAATGAGAAAACTATTGTTCAATAACATAGTTCAAAAACACCTAGCTGACACTCAATAAGAATTTTTCCCGATGAAATTTGCAGACTTTCAACAATATTTTACCTTCCAGACAGTGCATTAACTCCACACAAAGTTTCCTTTTTCAAATTACCAGTGACATGCCATTTAACATGAAAAGTACCAATATTTATACCACTAAATAATTCCTATTTTTCAATAATATTTTAATTTT